TCAATCTATAATTACCTAAAGAATTATAAAATTCCAAAGAGCAACAAACAAGAGCCTTAGTGTGAAATGGCCTTAGGCCTGCGCCCAAGCAACTCCATTTTAAAAGCACTAGGCATACCCACAGAGCCCTCCAGTAAGGCCTCAAACAGGTTACTTCCCCTAAACCGTGTAAAGCCCTGGCAGGCTGTCCTTGCAATCAGTAGAAGATCAGGATAGAGACCATCAGACAGATGTTTCTGACTCCAGGGTAAATGATGTCACTGAGAAATCCCATGGTAGCTGATAAGGATTGAAAGGGGAGTTCCAAAGCCCCCAAATTTAGTACTAATAATAGAGCTAATGAACAGGGATTCAGCCAGCCGAAACAACAAGGATGCACTTGAGCTAGAGAGCCTGATGAGGACCTGACATCCCATCACTTGTCTTTGTTTCCTGATCCTCTGGGTGATCCTCACCGCTCTCAAACTCTACCACCTGGACTTTGGTGAGAGCAGCAACTCCTCCCTATGACCCTCTCCTCAACCCGTTGTCCACTCCATGCCAGGAAAACCCTGCCTTGGCTCCAGACCTGGTGGCCATGGTCTGAGTGAGTGTGCATCTGCTGGACATAAAGCCTAAGGCTTGAGACTTTTGAACTTAGCACGCAGAGGGAATGTCTTTCATTAGCCTGTCATGATTAAATGTGTTTGCAGTGCTTAGAATTAATCTAGAATTGTTTGCTGTGAATTGATTAATCTAGAATTTTTTGCTATGAACGGATTATGTCAATTGCTGTGCCTAGCATTAAGGATTGTTGTTTTCTTGATTAAGAACCTATAGAGTGAAATTGTGTTGAGTAATTTGAGTGAATAAAGCATTGAAAGGGGCAGAAGCGCGTAGAAGTTCTTTATTTCTCCCCTCGACTGCAAACGTGGCAGTTTTGCCCCCTCACAACACTTAGGTGTTCATGTGCTTTGTTTTGAAGGAACGAATTATCTATAAGATGTATTCATAAAAGTGGCTAATATGGGCTGGGGATGTAATTCAGTGTAGAGCCCTTGCCAAGCTGCTCCAGGCTCTGGGTTCAGTCCCTAGTACCGAGAAACAAAACAACAACGAAATTTTGCTAATGTAATTTAAAATAAGAGTGCTAGAAGATTCATAAAATTAGGCCTTTAAAAGTTCACTGGTATATTTAGATTGCTTTATTTATATTTATTAAAAAACTGATTTTATGTTGAAAATGAGGTATAGGTTTCCGTACCTGTGGAATACAAAAGTACAGACTCAGTGATTCAGTAAACATCTGTTGAATCTGGGATCCTGGACTATGGGGGTAGAAAAATGAGAAGCTCCTAGGCCGTGAGGGACGTGACTGTCAGCCCAGCACATCCCTTGCCCTGGGATGTGAGCGGGCTGTGAACAGGGTGTGTCACAGGGCCCCAGCTGCTGCTCCTCCCTGGGTTGGCAGAAGGTGAGGGCTGACTTGGTGATCAGGTGATCACTGGAGGGAGTGAGTGTAGGTGTGCTGGGGGCAATCATGTAATGATCTCGTAATTTGTGTAGATATTTTTTTAAGTTCTTCAGAGCTTTTTTAAAATGTTGAAAATATTATAGCTATCTCAGTCTTACACTTCTTTTTATTTGTTCTGATTAGTTATGCATGACAGTAGAATGCACTTTATACATCATATATAGTTGGAGTATAATTTCTCATTCTTCTGGTTGTACATGATGTAAATACCACTGGCTGTATAGTTATATATGTATATAGGATAATAATGTCTGATTCATTCTACTGTCCTCAGTCATATACTTTTTTTTTTTTAATTTTATGAGATGCTGAGGATCGACCTCAGTGCCTCACCCATGCTATGCAAGCACTCTCCCTCTGAGCCACAACCCCAGCCCCAATCATATACTTCTTAATAAGATAATGATTATTAAATATTTTTGAAAATATGTATTCTTCAAATGAAACTCCCACCCCCCCACATTAGTAGACTGAAACACATAACCTTTCCACTTAAGTGAATGGAGGAAATTTTATATTTCTTAGCGTGAAATGCTTGTTTACACTTGGACCCTCAGAAATGTAGGATCTTAAAAATTGAGTATATTCAGTGAGGCAGCATTGAACTTATACATTCTTGTTTTTGGTTTATCAGCATCTATTTAAATACTTAGTAATGATTTACATCTGTTACATTAAGATTTACTTTATCATTTCACTTGCTTTATCTCAGAGCTTTTAAGTCTTAATTATGACAGGATCTTCTTGTATTTTGTAACTTCTTATTTCTTGAATTCCAAACAGTTTGTGTTAAAGCCATGAGTAGAAAATCTTAGAGAAGAGGCTGTCATCCAAATACCTACTTTGAGATTCCAAATTATATTTTGTCAAAGGCTTATCTTTTGCATTTTAGTTGGAAATATCATTTCTTTCAATATGATATGTATATGGAAGAAAAATCTTTATTAGTAAATGTCACAATTGAACTGCATTTCCCTGTTCATTTTACCCAGTTGAATTAATTGTTTATACTTTCTTTAGCTTCCATTAAAGGTTGGTTTTTAAAGATTGAGCAAATTTAACTTTGAATTAATCAACCAAAATACTGAAGTTAACAGTTATTTGTAAGCCATTTCAAAGTGGGAACATTAGTTTTGTAGGGACTACAGATATGAAGTTTTAAAAAAAATTTTTTTTACGTAGTCTGTATGCTTTATTTGTTCCATTGATGTATTTATTGTGTGCTCTTTTTATTTTTTTTAAGGGTAGAGAAATTCATTGGCAAAAGTAGAAATATCTACTAGGAAAAGATGGCCTTTTATATAAAGCTTTTAGGTTCATGGTGTATTCCTAAACAAAAATAGAAAATTGTAGTATTTTAAAGCTGGCTTGGAGCCCCAAAAGTGGTGATATGTAGTATTTTTAAGCTGTGGTATGGTTAACTGCTCAGGGGTTTTTGAACAAGAAACTTGGTTTCTATACACCTCAGCTTGCTTGAGTGTAGAACCAAGGCTGGACACAGTTTCAGTCCTCTGCATACATTGAGAAACCTTAGATGATTGTGCTTGTTTTTGTGCTTCTTCTCTACCCTCAATGTGCTTGTTTGATTTTAAAATGAGGTGTGTTTAGGTTTATTAAAAAATTTGAAGTGCTATGTTTCCTGTGGATGGCACTATAATCTGTAATCTTGTGAAAACTGCTTTTTTAAAAATTTTTTACAATTTTTTTTTAGTTGTCAATGGACCTTTATTTTATTTATTGATACAGGGTGCTGAGAATCGAACCCAGTGCCTCACATGTGCCAGGCAAGCACTCTGCCACTGAGCCACAAACGCAGCCCTGAAAACTGCTTTTTAATAGCTTTTTTGCCATCAATCTTCAAAGGCTGCAGCTTAGCAGTTTCTTAGTAGATCTCTGCAAGAAAGTGAGAAAGGAGCCTTTGGATGGTTCAAGTGTTGCCTTCAGCTTGGGGGCTAGGCATGTCTCTGAAGAACCTTGGATATTCTACCCAAGGAAGTGAAACCTGAAACACTGCTACATATCTGCAGTACTTTTAAATTGAGTGTGTACACAAGGGTCCTGAAGAGGTCCTGTGCTCGTTGTTAAGGGAATGGGCTCGCAATCTGGAGTCCCTCCAGTCTTAACCCTGCACAGATCAATCATTTGGTTTTATTTGTATTTACTGTATTTATTTATGCCATTGATAAACCTTATTTTAAAAATTTGGGCATATATTTATACCTATTAGATTCATGCACTATGTGGTTGTCAAAGATAGAAGAAACTTCAGTCTGAGTCGCTGACCTTTGGAACTTTATGTCACCTAGTTGCATTTTCTACAAAGATATTGCATTAATGTCCTTTCTTTTTTGTTAAGATGCTAATGAATAAAGAAAGTCCCCTGTGGATGAGCTAGATCTAAAAAGCCTTAGCTAATTCATAAGCTTGCATACTCCATGGTGACAAGGAACAAAAACAGAAAGCCCTGAATTAAAAACAAAGCAAGGGCTGGGGTTGTGGCTCAGTGGTAGAGTACTCACCTAGCATGTACAAGGCACTGGGTTTGATCCCCAGCACCACATAAAAATAAGTAAATAAAATGAAGGTATTAAAAAAAAAAAGCAAAACCCACCATTAACAGTCATTCCTTTGAAGTCTTTAGAAGTGTACTGCCAGCTTCTTTAAATTATTTATCATGGATTACTTAAGACATGTAAAACTTCAGAAGGTCTAATAAAAGGAACCCTATGTCTCTACCACCTGATTTAAGAAATGCAGCTGACAGGTGGACTGGAAGCTCTCAGGGCATCAATTCCTGATGGAGATACAGAGTTCTGATCCCCAGGCCATGTTTCCCTGGTACTTACAGAATACAGTGGTAATCTTTTACTTGGTATTCAAAAGACCTGACATTCAGTGCAGTCCCCCTTCTGCCCTCCTTGCTCCATTTCACCAGCTCCTGTCTCTGGGCTTTCCCCGCAATACTGCTTGGTGTGCTTCAGCAGGACTCCAGCACCGCTGCTTCATTTGACCTTATGTTTGTGAACATTTTCCTTTTGTCCCTGGAAATCACACCTATGAAATGCACAGCTTTGCAGCTTCTAGTTCTTTAAAATATACTGTACTTTGATTATACGTGTGTTATGTTGTCATTGCAGTTGCTGTGTACGTATCTGTCTCTTCCACTAGCTTGCAAGCTATTTGAAGGAAGAGGTATCTTTTGAAAAATTTTATATATTGCTAGCAATCAATTAATGCTTGTAGCCTTTTTCTGGAGGATGTTTATCATTCTGTTTTATGCTATGACCATTAACCTGCCCTACGTTTGTCTACTTTATAAGCATGAGCTATTTATGATCTGTGAGGCTTCTGAGAGAAATCTAATTTTCGTTAATTATGGATATATTTACAACATCACGTTTGTCAAATTTTTCACATTGTCTTAGTTTGTATATTACAGTAGTATGTGTTTTAAAATATCAAAGTAATGTTTCTTTTTGTCTTTTAGATATTGCTATATGGAGATTTGCCAAAAAATAAAGAAAATATAATATATTTAGCAAATCATCAAAGCACAGGTTTGTATTTCATTTGCATGAGATTTAGGTTTTTCTACAAATGGTTCATGGGCATTCAAAATAATACTTTAATATATTTAAATGAAGTGGGGTCTTTTTATAGTTATTAAAACATGCATTTTTTATGCAGATTTTCTATCTGTCCTTGTATTTTTGTGATTTTACTTTTTGGAAAGTCAGTAATGTGAAAGTTCTGAATTTGTCTGTACTTCTTTGTAAATGAGTTGTTTCTTTGCTTTCCCCTATTCCTTAGAGTAACTGTTGAGACTGTCCATTCTTCTCTTTGTGAGCTGTCTGCAGGTGCAGGTGGTAGGTCAAAGTGGGTGCACCCTGTGCACTCCTAGCTGCGGCCTGCACGGTTGGGCTGGTGTGCATGCACTTGCACACTTGCTGATTGTGGCCTTCTGTTCCCACTGGTCCACCTCCTTTTGCCCCTTCACATGCCTTTGTTTTAGCTCCAGCTTGCTAGTCTCTGTCAGAGAAATCACAGGAGACTGTCTCTAGTAGACTTTGAATTAGGCCAAGGTGCTTTTCAAAAGCTGTTCGTTTTTAAATAATTACCAGGAATTTGTAAAAATAGTGCATCTAGTCCCATAACCCCTTTACCAAGTCTCCCTCAATGATAACATTTTTATAAAACTGTAGCCAGTATCAAAACCAGGAAAGTGACACTGGTTAAGGCACTTTTTTCTTCAAATAATTTAGTCAACAAACAAACAAATCTCCATATTTTTTAAACCTGTAGCTACTTTTGATACATGCTTCCTAAATTCCATTTTAATTACTTTTAGATATATAGTATGCCCAAAGCTAAAAACCATGGTAGAGCTCTCATGGAAGATCACGTATGCCCGTGGCTTTCCTTTGTTTTTTCCTATCAGCTGTCCTCATGATCTTGTTGCTTTTATTACCTTAGGTAAGTGCAGAAAGTGAGAGCAGTTGAAGTGAATCTTTCTCAATTTAGCATATGAATGACTACATTCAGATGAATAGGATCAGGGCTGGAGAAACGGGTGGATAGGAATCATGACATATCTGTGTATTTTCCCCAACTTTATTAATGGGACTGGCTCAGATTATTTGATCTAATTACATTTGACTTTAGTAGAAATAACAGCCTCTTGGGATGCTGGCTTGCCCAGACACGATGCCCTTTTTTTAACCAGTAGGACAATCCTGCCATTCTTGTCCTGGTGCTGAGGAAGAATTTCTACCAGGCATCCAAATAAAAAAGACATTCATGGGTCTACCATAGGGAATGACCTATGATAGCATTATGTACCCCACGTTTTTCAATTATTATTGACTGAGTCACTAATTTAACATAGAATTTTCTTTATCAGAATTCTCTTGAAATTCCTCATTCAGTTTCCTGCCAGCTTCCCCTTTTCCGGGTTTTAGTGGAAACACTGCTCTTAACAGCTGTGGTCCTAGTACTGACAAGCAGAACGCGTCGCGTCCTGGGACTACTCCCGGAGGCTGTGGTGGTGGTGATGAGAATGGAAAACCCCCACTGCCGTTTCCATGCTTACTCTGTTGGCCTTTGCATGCCTCCCTCCAGAGTGAGAACTTCTGGGAGAGCATTTGTGGAAACACGATACATGGGAACAGTTCTCCTTCTGTGTTGGGATTGGAATGTCGCAGGTGGCGGCATGAACTCCACACTGGGCCCACCCTAACCTGAGAGGTTCCGTTTCTCACTGTAGAGAACCACGTCCTTCTACTCCCTGCCCAAGCCCTGTGGCTTTCTTGCATTGCTTTAGCACCAGGTCCTGATACCAGGCAGCCTTTGGAATTTGGGAAGGCTACTTTTGGAATGCTTTCTAAAAATGCACAACTTGGGGACATACCAGAAGAATGAGTTTAAATTACCTTAGAATTGCAGGCTTTGGTTAGTATGTGATGGAAGGTTTGGAATCTTCCCCCAGAAAAACGGACCCATAAAATCTGCATGTAGTTTTTTGATTCCAGAGGTTCTCAAAGCCTAACCATAGACTAGGTTCCTTGGCCTCTTGTGTGTAGATGCCCTTTTAAAAACCCTTTTGAGATATTAAAAGGCACAATTAAATATCTCTGAAAATGTAATTGGCAGAAAGAACATTTCAAGGACCGCTGCTCAGTTTGGGCTTTCTAGTTCACCCTCCACGAGGCCTGCCAGAATAAATGAGTTTCCTGGCTGGCCTTCAAATAGAATTGACATGTAAATGAGTCTCCCTCGTCCCTTGTTTTTACTTGGCATGCCCTTGCCGTCTCTACATTCTTAGTTTTTGTTAACTTATTTCTTACCAGTGTTACCAAAAACAAAAGTCTGTTTCTTCCCCTCATTCTTCTTTAACTATCTGCTTTGAACACTATTTATCTTTAATCTCACAAATGCTCCTTTTCTGGGTTTAGGTGGCAATTTCCTTGACTAACAGCATGTGTGGTGAGTCAACTGTCATAAGTAGATGTGGCTTTGAAGTCAGGGACCCTGGTTCATGTGAGTTTGTGGGCAAATTACTTAACCTCTTGGAGGCTAGTTGTTTAGGTGTCATATCTACTGATGGAGGTTTTAGGCAGTTTACATTTAGGTTATCTCGTGATCCCAGTGGTGAATATGGCTTATGGGTGGCGTTCAACAACAGTAATGAGGATGAGAGCTAACCCTTAGCACAGTGCTGTGCCCACGGTAGCTGAGTGCTCCATGTGCTGTGTCTCTGTACAGCAGACCTTTGAGTTAGGAACTAGTGTTACAACAGATGATTAGGGTTGAGGGAGATAAAAGGTGGCTGCCCCTCCTCATCCCTCCACTCTCTCCTCACGATGAGGGAGCGTGACCCTGCTTTGTTTGGTTCACTGTTGAAGAATTCTGACTTAGCCAGAATGTGAAATATGAATAGTTACTCCAAAGGTGATATGTCATTGTGTCAGTTGTAATCTAGTATTACCTATCTGAAACCTAGCTGAGAATAAACAGCGAGACAATTAAAAAGCTTATGTCTTTTGACTGCTTTAGTTAGTTGTTAAACTTTTCCACAAAAAAATTTCAAGTTTAAGGGCATAGCTCAGGGTAGGTTATTTGGATCATGACATATTTTGTAAATCTTATACCTTCTTACAACGTTCTTGGAATATGCATCCAAGTCCACAACATAACCATGCTTGTTTCAAAAAATACATTTATTATTCCCTAAACTTTCAAAAATAATTGTTGTAGGAAAAGATGCCAAATCTGTTTTTTAGCTTCATACTCCCTGAATATATACCATGATGTACTTTAACCTGGGAACCATATAGAGTCATATCAAATTAGTTCTTAATATTGAATCTACTTCTAAATTTGGAACAGTTTTAACAGGCTTGGTTATGTGTTTTTAAGATGATTTCGAAGAACCGTGTCTCAGTGATGGTTTATGTGATCTAAGTTAGAAGGGACTAAGGAGAGGGCTTCTAAAGAAAGATGTGTACCTTAGAAAAAGCCATAGTTGATAGCATTACAGTTTGTGTGATAGACACAGCTGCCATTGACTGTCTAACATAGACAGAGATCTTTAGGCATCAGTATATAAGGATCCATAACAAAATTATAATATATAATTGTAAGTCTTAAAGGCATCAAAAACCAGGTAATCTGTGAGTGATAATCCCTAATTAAAAAGAGAAATTTATAATAATTGGTAAGACTTTTTCTAGAAGGTTAATTTTTAGTGTTTAAATCGCTATAACTTCAGGACAGTCTAGATAGTATGTGCGTTGTCAAAAGGATTTCACGTGACCAAGAGTTAGTCATCTTGTAGTCTGTGGAAAACTGTCTCCTTTTGTTAAAATTTTATTGTGATTTCTTTAAATTCCAGACTTATTTCCTAGGCTTTAAAACATTTTTTTCCTTTAATTTACTCCATTTCTCATTTCCGTGGCCTTGAATATGCTTGTGATGCTAGAACTATATTCTTTTCACAGGTTCTTAACAAATGTATTTTTAAGTCTCACACCTTGAGTTCATCTGCTAATGCTAGAGTTTCCTTCACGTTTCACTTTACCCTGCCCTTCTCACCAGGAGAGGCCGTTGACAGCCACTGACTTTCAAGTCTGGTTTCTCTGGCTCTCAAGACATTATTATTATTTGTCCCTGTCATTTCCTTTCCTCTCATCTGTTCAAAGCACCTCCTCTGTTACCGTCTTCTGCACCCTGTTTGCTGGTCCTGTTTCTTTGCTTTGGCAAGCCCACTCCTGCGGGTCAGCGTTTCTTCTGTTTGAAGCCCAGTGCACAACTTCTTGGAAGGCTTCAGTTGCCACTCCTGTCGGCTCGCTTACGCTTTGCTCTTGGTTTCGCGACTCTTTGATAATAGCATAGCGGGGTAATGGGTTATCGGGGACCTCGTCCCTTGGTTGGTAAGGAGCACACATCTCCCTAGCCTCGTTGTAAGGCATCTGAGACCTTCTGAATGCCAGTGTGACCTAGTACTGTGTCCAGAGGCTCATTCTTAAAGGGCCCTGGCCTTTTATTGAGCATGTGTGTCCAGAATATTTAGTCATCCTTGATAGTTTCTTTAGCATTTTCTGCTTATAATTTCCCCCTTTTTATGAAAAAAAGAAAAATATGTCTTAATTTTAAAAACTCAGCTTATTCTTTGTAAAATACTTCTGTTGAATTACTTGGTACTTTGTGATTTTTTTTTCTTTTGTCCTTGAAATAAAAAGCCTTTCAAGAATTGGAGGATAATGTAAAAGAGAAAAAAATCCCCCACAATTTAAGTTATTTAACTATCTGGGGTTTATGTAAAGTAATTTTAAGCATTCTGATTATTCTCATAGCATATTCCTAACACAGTGCTGTGAAGAGGCTGTTTCTGTGGTCTCTGGGGAGGGGCGCTGGACGTACTGACAGAGTCTGTCTTTGCAGTTGACTGGGTTGTTGCTGATATTCTGGCCATCCGGCAGAATGCTCTCGGACACGTGCGCTACGTGCTGAAGGATAGGCTCAAGTGGCTTCCATTATATGGGTGTTACTTTTCTCAGGTAACTTTTCTTTCCTCTACTTTTTCCTTTACATATGGGTCAGTTAAAAAAATATATTTTAAAGTTTAACATACACTTAATATAAATATATGTGGATTTTTTGGTTCTGTTTTGTAGTGTTGGGGATTGAATGCATGTCTTCATGCATGCTGAGTAGTCGCTGTACCACTGAACTATATCCCCAGAATTTTTCTTTGGTATTTTTGATGTTGTATATGTATATACGTGTCTGATTGTCCACATAGTTAAATGAAATAGCAAAAGTACAAAAGTCAGATAGGAAACTAAAGACACAGAATTCAGTAGTCAGTTACTTTAAGAAACCAATGGTAAAATTAATTATGATCTCTCAGAGATTAAGCAAAATAATGAGATAATGTGTAAAGTTCTTAGCATGAGGGCATTTATTTTCTAAGGTCCTAAAGTGCAGGATCCAGGTGTGAGAGAGCGGGTTTCTGCCTAGCCTTTCTCCCTGGCTGGCAGATGACAGCACCCTCCCTGTGTCTTACGTGATCTTGTTCTGTGCACTGCATTCCTGTTGTTTGTTTTCCTCAGAAGGATGCAGTCACTCTGGCTCAGCCCCCCACCCCAGGACCTTGATGTATTTATCATGATTACCCCTGTCTCCACACAGTCACCATGGAAGTTGGAGCCTCAACACCTGGGTTTTGGGGAAACAAATGTAGTCCTTACCAGTGCCACGTAAATAGCTGTAGCTGGGTCGGTTTTTCAAATCCCTAAAGGTTGTTAGTGCTGACATTTAAGGATATTTTTTAGTGATTCTGTAATGAATCAGTGGAAAATTGGGAGTTAAGATCCATCTGATAAATAGAGTTTTTGGTTTAAAGGATATATTTTTAAGAAAGAAAGGATTTTAACTACCAACAAACTAAACGTTCATATATTTTCATAGGATAGCATGCAATTTTATTGGAATAATGTTTATCTAAGTTATTTAGGTGCTAATATTTGAATGTATTAAATATACCTTAAATTGTGAAATGTGGTTTTGTTCTTTACTCTTCAGGAGCAGAGTTGCCTCTCTGATGACTGTGGCAGTTGGTTAATTTAAAAGTAAATGATTTTCCTCCCCATTTTTTCATGTGCAGCATGGAGGGATCTATGTGAAGCGAAGTGCCAAATTTAACGAAAGAGACATGAGGAGGAAGCTGCGGAGTTACGTGGACGCGGGGACCCCAGTAAGAGTGCTGTTTGTGTTTTTCCTTAGCAGCTCCTGATTACTAATCTAGGGTCAAGGTGACATTTAAGATTTGGTTTGAAAGTACACAACCATATAGGTACTAAATAATTCAGAGTTTTGTGAGGCAACAAAAATTCTCTGAATAAAAGTCAGTGATTCTTTTTAGCCATCAGAAAGGTTGCTGCAGACAATTAAGTCCTTTCCTGGTGGTTGTCAGTGTCGACCTTAAAGAGGAATAAAAAGAACATTTCATACTTTTGGAGTCTATAAATAGAAAACGGCAATGTGCTGGTAACCCTACACTTGAGTTCCTCGGAGCTCATCGAACTTCTGTCTTCTTTAGATCAGATTTGATACTAGAAGCAGCCACTGTTTTCTGTCAGTATAAATTTGGATTTTTCTTATACACTGAATTGTTTGAAAAACCAGGAGTATTAATATTTACATTCAATGTGAATATTATTTTCCAAAACTATGCTTAAAAAAAAAAAACAACCCAAGAATCTCGATCTTCTATTTGAAGAATGCCAGTTGCTGCCAAATGACTTTTCCCATGATTCCCCCTGGATCAGCAACAGGATCGCCATGACGGCTTGGGATCTGTCTTTCAGTGCATTCCAAGTGCTCTGAAACTTTGCTCAGGGGCTCAACTTCTTTTCTTTTTCTTCTTATCCCCTCTCTCCTCCTCTCCACTTGCCAGGGCTTGTGGGCAGCAGCCTGGGCTCCCGTTGAAGGGATTCTGCGAGTCAGCTGGTGAGGTACCCAGTGTGAGCATTTTCTCATAAATGTTCTCTGGGTGTTTTTGCAGTAGGAGGTGGCGTGCAGTCTGGGCAGATGGCAATGGAATGAGATGAGGGGAAGAGCGGCCCTGTGTCCTGTCATAGCGCACTCTGGAGGACAGGCATTGAGTCGAGAAGGGACTACTCAGTTTTATACAGTGTGGTGGGTTTTTGATACAGTGGGGGTCATTTTGTAGATCTCCAAAAGACAGACTAGATTGGAAATATTTATATCCACTTTTAAAAGTTTTAAATTTAAAGACATGGATTAATGTGTTAAAATGTCCATTTTTCTTTTCTCGTTATTGGCTCTACAGTTTGGTGTCTATCATTAATTTTGGAAAATTTCTGTTTATTACAGGTTGAGTATCCTTGAGAACCAGAAGTGTTTCAATTTCGAATTTTTTAGATTTTGGAATTTTCCATAGGCTTTACCTGTTGAACATCTCTAATCAAAATCTAAAATGCTCCAAAATCTGAAACTTTTTGAGGAATGTCAGTATTCAAAATTTTGGATTTTGGAGCATTTTGGATTTGTGATTTTTGAATTGGGAGTGCTCAACCTGTATTTCTTTGAATATTATTGCTATCCTGTCCTCTCTCTCTTCTCTGGTTACTGGTGTGTTGGATCATTTGATGCTGTCCCACAGCTCTTGGATGCTTTACCCTGTCCCACAAATTGCCCTCCCCATTCTCATTTTTATTTCTGTCTTACAGTTTGGGTAGCTTCTGCTGATTGCCATCAAGTTCACTAGTTCTTCTTGTGGCTGTGCTCAGTCTGTACTTGAGCCAGTTAAAGGCATTCTTCGTCTGTACCTGGTCCTTCCTCTCAACATTTCTCTTTGACTCTCTCTCATGATTTCCTCTTGTACTGCACGTCTCCACTTGAGAACCTTGATTGTGCCTCTCACCCTTGCTGGCTGTTTTCCAGCATCTGCCTGAGACCAGTGCTTCTGGTGGTTCTGTGTCCAGACCCTGCTTTCACCTGCCTTTTCACACCTCCTAAGAGTTTGAAAGTTGGTATCTTGGGTAGACTAGAAGGCACTGAGGCAGATCGTCCCGACACTTGGAAATGGTCGCACCTTTCTTTTTCCCTGTGTTGGGAGTGGAGTCTGCCAGCCAGCAGTTGTGTTAGGTTTGAGCTTTGCTATGTCGTGTTTTGTCTTTGGGGCTTCAGATTCCAGTAGCTTTCATTACTTTGTGCTCAGGATGGAGGGTGTCCTATCGGAGAGTTTTCCCTAAGTGTCTGTTCCATGCCCAGCTTTTACTCAGGCTCCCTCTCTCCATAGTACTCTGGAACGTGTTGCTGAGCTCTGCTGATTTGGTAGCGGGAAGGAAGGAGTATTTTTGTTTTGATTCAGACTTAGGGAGGGTATGGAGGGCAGCCTTCTCTGACCCTGCCTTTGCCCCTCTGTCTGTGCCTGGATGAATCCCTGCCCTCCCTCCTCTGAGGCTTCTTTCTTCCTTCTCTTCCCCTTGCATCCTTAGTTTTCCATCCACATCTGAAGTGTAGCAGAATTTTCTTGCTCTTTTACCAGCAACTGCACAGGAGAGAGGAGGGAAGGGCCTGTGTGGGCTGGGCGGCCGTCCAGGGCTGCTTCTCTCTCCAGGGCTGTGTTGTTCTCCCGACTCCAGCATTTCCCCCTTTGTCTTTCCGTGGTTTTCCCTTCCTCCTCACTTCCTTCCCTCCTTCAGGTTGTAGTGCCTGGGGCCATCGGGGGTGCTTCTGTTTTACTGGTTCACATTTGGCTTTTGAAAATCGGTAACAATTTTTTAACTAAATTTTTTTTAGTGGCCCCCGGCATTTCCTACGTAAGCAAGTGCTGACATCTCTTGTCCCCTTTGAGCCCCTTCCTCAGTGTTTGGTGGGGGTTGCCTTGCAGCCTGTCAGCTCTTTGAAGTTGTGAATTTACACGCTGCCAGTGTTGTTGTGCTGGTGTAGGGTTAGGAGCAACCTTCTTCAGTGTTCTGCATGCTAAATTAATTCGTAATTCTGAGACAGTTGCTTAAGTTGCTGAAGCTGGCCTTGAACTTGGAATCCTCCTGCCTCAGCCTCCTAAATTGCTGGGATTACAGACATGCACCACCACACCTGGCTTTGTCATCTGTTTGATACTTTGAAAATTATGTTATATCTAGTTTTTCAAATTGTTTTTATAGGAAGGTTCATTCAGATAGTCTACTTTTTCATTGTGACTTACCAAAAGAACCTTATTGCTTTTCAAGGGCAAGAGTCTCACTTTTTATGTTCCTAGCACATAATGACTGGCATGCTCATGTTGGAATCACCCTGTATCTGAGGTCCAATTTCTTAGAATCTAGATGAAAGCAGAGATTATACTCTTATTTGTGAAAGTTAAGTAACTGACATGGTAGAATGTATTTATCAAGTTAGCTTTCATATGGCTTAATATATCTCTTAGGAATCTATGACTACATGAGTTAGTCCTCAATATTGTTATTTAAGGGATTACAAAATTTTATTTTAAAAAAGTGTATCTGTATTACAAATTATTAAGAAATAATTTCCATAATTGTTGCTGGGACAATATTTTCATAAGGTACTTATTGGTTCTGGATGCAAATGAAACATTTATGATAAAAATAACTACATAATTTATAAAAGTCATGAAGTTAGAATTCGAGGTAGTAAATTTATATGCTTTTTCTTCCAAGTTTCTTTTGGAGTGGGAGGCAGCCTATTAGATGAGAGTACTCCTTTGGCATCAGATTTGGCTTTAAGTCCTAGGTCTGCTGTTTAGACTTTATTATTTTACATAAGTCACTTTCTAAGCTTTGATTTCCATTTTCATTAAATCTATTAATAACTATTAATTTGTTAGCTAGTCTTAAATAGCATATTTGCAAACTACACAAATTGTCTTAGTTTCCTATTACTACTTTAACAAATAATACATACTCACCGGCTTAAAATAACACAGATTTATTATCTTAACTTTTCTAAAAATCAGCCCAAAATAGGTCTCACTGGACTGAAATCAAAGTGTTGGTGGGCTGTGGTCCTTTCTAGAGACTCTAGGGAAAATCCATGCTCCTGCCTTCCCCTGCTTTTAAAATGGCCTGCTTCCCTACCTCGTGGCTCCATCCGTCTCCACAGTGAGCGCTGGCTGGCCTGGTCTGTCCTTATGGACCATTTCTCTGGTTCTGACTTTTAAAATATATATATATTTATTTTTTTGTTATAGGTGGGCACAGTATCTATTTCACTTTTATGTGGTGCTGACGTTTGAACCCAGTGCCTCCCGTGTGCTAGGCAAGCACTCTACCACTGAGCCACAACCCCAGCCCTCTGGTTCTGACTTTTGAGCCCCTTTCCTGTTCCAGGACTTTCCCCCTTTCCTGTTCAAGGACTCTCATGATTATATTAAGCCTTCTGGTTAGTTGAAGATAACTTGTTGTCTTTAGGTCCATAAGTAATCCTCATAACTCCCTCTGGCCTTGTCACACAGTACGTTGAGGGCTCCAGGGTTAGGATGTGGACCTCCCAGGGAGGGAAGGCGTTATCCTGCCCACCACACTCACATATGTGTTTATGGGACCTGACCATGTTTTCTGACCATGCATATAGCACTTTCAGAGTGAAATAAATAATGAGCTCAGCGAGGAAAGAAACTATTCTGTATCCTGCCACATTTGGCAGGTTTTCCTCTTAACCGGATGATGGACTTTTGAATGACTTGAGTGTTTCTGATTGTAATTGTAAAAAACTTTAAAATGGTTTGCTAGATTAGATTAGCTTGGGGGACAGAAGGCAGAGATGAAAGAAAAGGCAGTATTCAAAGTATATAGCTAATCAATTCAGGGTTTTTAAGTTCTATAATATTGTTCCTATATAAATGTGCTTTGAAAACTATTTAGTAAACTAGAATTTCTAAAAATCAGAGGGTGAAGGAAACATTCATAAGAGCCTGCCACTTAGTGCTTAATATTTTCATGACATCCCTCTAATAATTAACTTATCCAGTGCATGGAAAAAGTCCAGTTCAGTGGTTGGTTATAGTTTAAAACTCTGATTAGAGTTGTTTTATTTTTGACTAGGTTTTTAGTGTAAATAGGTTGTTAATTTTCCATCAGAGGGTGAAACATCTCATGTTCCAAATGGTGTATCATATCTTGAAAATATATTTTTTTAAGATATTGAAGGTCATCACAGGGGAGAACAGAATCTCAGGTTCTTTCAGTGAAAACTTAGCAGATC